CAGAATGGGAATTCTGGGTAAATAAGAGTATAATTTAACTCTTAGAAAAAAAATCCAAACATATATATGAACACACCTTCAAAATAATATCTTTCAAAAATATATGAACTGCAGAAAATCAATGTTCCTTCTGCATTGCAGTCAGAAAGCTTGGAAGGCATCCGCTTCCTAATGGGTGAACTGCTAACTTCCCAGACAAGTGCCCAACATGTACAGACACTTCTGAATCATAGAATGATTTGGGTTGGAAGGGAGCTTAAATTATCAAGTTCCAACACCTTCCACTAGACCAGGTTACTCAGAGCTCCATTCAACCTAGTCTTGAACATGTCCAGGGATGGGACATCTGCAACTTCTCTGGGCAATGTGTTCCAGTGCCTCAGCACTCTCAGAATAAAGACTCTTTTCATAATATCCAAAACAGATATTATTCCTAATTTCCTGAAGAGACATTCCACTCCAGCATGGACCTCTCTTAGCAGCATGAGAAGTCACTAGCCAAATATTAAATAAGAGAAGATAATACCTCACAATTTATTCTACTAATTAGATCTAAGCTCTTCTAGGTAATATATGCCAGAAGATTCTGATAAATTTTCAAGAGTGAACATGATTTTCCAAAGGAAGAAATTCATCTATGTATGTATAGCTCCTAGCATTATGGCTGGTGGGCACTAGGGCCAGAAGTTTCAACACTGATTAAGTAGGATAACATTTATGATTAGCTCTAAAAATATTTCAACATAGTGTTAAAATGTTGTGAGAAACAGATTATAGGTCTTTGATCTGGGAAATAACAACTAATGATACTAACATGATTAATAAAAGCATAAATACTATAATTACATATCCTATCAGCTATTCCTGTACTCATGCATTTGTTAAGCTGATCTCGTCTGGTATGGGATAGGCTGGATGCCAGTTAGACACTGTGCAGAGGGGATGAGTTTTTTCTCTGCCAAAGTACCAACCTTGGAATGTGTTTTCGTATTTTCCTGTTCTTAGTCCAGCTGCTATAAGGGTTTTCCTGTGCCATTTTTGTTACATTACTCTGTATGTTGGATGCAATTTGGTTGTTTATTTAGAATATTAACCCAGATGCCAGTACTTATACAGCTAGAACATATGTTCCTATAATATTTAACTTTATTTTTGCAAGTGTTGTTCGATCGGTTTAGTATTCTTGTAGCAAAAATACATAAAATATCTATAGTGTCACAATTTATCAATCAGAAATGAAAGTGCCAAAAACCTGTGAGATTGAACTCTTTGAATGTACTTAAAGCAACAGAGGACTTGTGGCTACACTGTGCAGTTAAGTTTGACTTATAATTCCCCTGTCAGAAACAGGGATTGTCTAATAGTAGTTCGGATCAACATTACTATGACAACAGAACAGCAACAAGTTTTTCCCCAGTAACTTATGGTTTGCAAGGCCTCAAGCCTGGGAATCATTTCCCATGTAACCTCTTATCAACAGAGCTCTTTGTCTTGACTAGAAGCAGTGATGATTTTGCCTGCATACTTTCCCTGCATTTCTATTGGGGCATAAGGCTGGAGTTAATGGGATAAAATAACTGAGTTTATATTGCTTAGATGAAAAAGATCATTTAAATCAAATGTGCATGTTGACAATTTTATCCAAGTCAGCTTGGTTATTCTTAACCTGAAACCAGAAATCCTAAAAGATCTTGTGAAAATATTATTCCCTTTTTTATGGAAATATTCTTCAATGCCTTAAGTTACTGCAAAGTATGCGTCATGAATGTGTTTTATGAAGAAAAGCAATTGTGGTTTTTTTTCCTTCCAACATGTAGTGCCAGAGAGACAATCCAGTCATCTATTAGCAGTATAGGTTAATTGCAAAACATAACAGGTCAAAGGATTATTCATCCTCTTTGATTGCTTAATGTCTTTGTTCTGTAACTTGCATTCTATCTTGTTATTTCACCTTCTGGATAGGGAAATAGTGGAATTCATGCACAGAAGCACAGATAACACCTATCAATTGCTGCAATCTGCAAAATCTGTTGAAAGCCAGTTCTTGTTATGCATGTTATGTTTTGCAGTCACTATTAGAGATTGCTGCTACACCACTTAATTTTCTCTTGGGAAAAGTACACCTGCACTCCTTCCCACAGGATTTAATCATGAAGGCTTGTGGCTCTGGGGACTTCACATGCCTTATGGATGGCTGCTACTAGCAAAAGCACTGCGTCTGTGGTGGTATCACAGCCATCAAGGTAGCTTTTTTACTATAAAATGGCAAAAGAAGTCTGGGGCAAAAGAAGTCTGCTGGAAGGGCCATCAGTAGTCCTGTAGTCTTCTCTGTATCCTTATGCACGCCTAGTCCTGGGGCACATAATACATGAACATTTTATTGTGAATAGTGTAGTTCAGGTGCCAACAATTCTCAAACAAAACAACTGTAAACAGAGACTAGTATTGTGATGGCATTTTTCAGAGCACATCATATTTTGATAGCAGCTATTAATGTTCTTCAAGAGGGATACAATCAATTTACTCTTCCTAGATCTATGAAATAATTCGCCACTGGATTGTCACTCATTTGTAACAAGAATTATTTAAATGTTTGATGATATTCAATACCACACTGAGGAATAGATAGACCCCTTGAGCAACACCCTCTGGTGGTGTTGGACAAGCTTCTTATCTGGCCTTCTTTCAGTGAAGCAATGTCTGTTTAGAGTTGCTGTACCTATGACCTGGTTAAGGCTTTTAAAAAGAAAAAGTTTTATAGGAAAGTCATTACAGTATTACTAAGAAGTAGCCGCCAGGTTGAAGGAGGCCTGATCAGGTACTACTATCTCACTGACACCTGCTATTATAGTTTGGAAAGATTCTTTACCACCAAAGTAGGTAAGAGTTGAAGTTTGACAATTATTTTCTGCCATGAGGCAGAAGAAGAAACTGAAGCTGATTTGATGTTGGGGAATTCACATTTGTTTTTATTTAGCAGCAGAACTCAGAAAATTTTCAGTAGTTCTCCATAAGCATTTTAGTTTGAATCAAAAATGCGTTTTGAACAAAATTCTACATGTCCCTCCACTTGTGGTATTTTGGCTTACATCAAGGAATTATTTCACAGTCTGCAAATTAGTTTTCTTTTGATTAAACTAAACTAGAAGTGTCCAATTAATGAGCTTTTGTCCAATAGAGTCAGATTAAGACTAATTGGAAGTAATCCCATTGCCCCAGAAATGCATGAAGAATGGACAATAGGATCTTGGAGATTTGGTACTGTGTTCTTCTGTCTTTAGATCTTCTCTTACTGGGCTGTAAGTCTTGCTATTGTTAACATGCTTTGTCATCTTGGTGCTTATTAAGCTGTGTTTGGTTTCTCCTTTCTTTCAAATCTGCCAATATTTAAAACTTTCAGATGAGTTATACATTATTTTTTCCAGTCTCCTGCTTTTCAGACAAATGCCAACTCTATCCATTTTTCTCACTGGAAGAAAGGACCAATGAAAATACCAGATGTAAAATGAAGTGGGGGGTGATTTTAAAGTTAAAGCAACTCATTCCACCTGTCTGTCTCCCTGTTACTGAAAAATGTCTAATGGGACACAGGCACTTAGCTGAGCAGCAACAACCTCCAAATCTCTTCATCACAGGCTGTGCACATCAGGTGTGCAAAATCCAGGCACCTACAAGCCATCTCATTAGTGACATTTACCATTGGTGCTACATGACACTCCACGGTGGAGCACTTGCATCAGTTTTCACACCTGACCACCTCCTTGGATCGTTAAAATCTTATGTTAGTCTTATGCCCTTCTTATGATCTACAGAAATCCTTTAGAACTGGGAAGGAAAGATCAGGGGTGGCTTCTGGTATGGAAATGCTGATCTTGCATGACATCCACCTTTCATTTGAGTGTTTAATAAAGGTGCTAGAAGAATAGCTGTGAAAAATGAAGTCAGTTAACCACAGAAGAGTTAACATACGCATAAAAACTTTCCTCCAAAAAGCTAAATGCTGTTTTGAATATCTACTGACAAAAAGAAACTTTGCTAATTTTGTCAGTTTTTAATTTACTCTCAATCAAGTTTTCTCCATATCGTGAATGAGTGCTTTAGGGTCACTCAAAGAATCTGCATCAATGGTATTAACAAAAGTGATTTTAATATGAATTTGTAAAAGTGTAACTTAACAAACTTCCATGGCAAGGTGCACTCTATTGCTTACTAAATGGACTAAACACACAAAGAAAAATTAAGTTATAACTGATTTAGAATGAACTACACAGAGATTGGAGATGCAAAAAGGTAAAGGACACTCTCCTGTTGAGTCACGAGGTTCAGAGTGGACTCTCTTGCTTTCTAATGCAAGATGGAGCATAGGTAAAGCTAGGTCCAATCTTAGTCTTTGACTTGGAAAACAGTTTATATCTAATGAAAGAAATACACAGATTTCATTAGTGCTGATTTAGCATGTTATCATCAGCTTACCAAGGATCTGTTGTGAATAAGGTGTCCCTCTGCCTTGGTTAAGGAAGGATCTCTCAGTCTCAGATAAGGAATCTCAAACTTGAGAGGTGTCCCAGCTGTAAGGGAGACCATCACCATGCATTCACACTGCTGTACAGGGAGAGCTCCAAGAAGGCTCTCTAAAGCTGTCATATTTTTGGGATAAAGTGATTGGCTAATAGTTAAATTGCACCTGAAGGGTATGCATGAGACCCCTTGTACCCAAAACTTTCTTTGTGAGTCTTGGAAAAAACATCTGTTATTCATGTGTTGACCACAGTGTTTCAAGCTCATATGCACTGATGCTCACTGGGTCACTCTGCCCCTTTCTGGGTTTTCTGGAGGAGTTCTTGGCCTGACTATAGCTCAGGCCTTTACCTCCTTTGGAACCTGTACCAAACTATTGTTAGTTTGGTTAAGGGGGTTGAGCAAATCCATCACACTCTCTTAGTTGTTTGAATCATACTAGTTCTGTTGTTATTCACGTTATTCTCTTAGAATTTGCTCCACTGATTTAATGATAAATGTAATCAGAGTGGACTATATTCCCCTACTTTTAAGCTACTCCAAGCACGATGGATTTGAATATTCAAATCAGCCAAGAAGTTCTCAATGTTGCCTCCTTTTTTCTTGACAGGCTGAATGAGGAAAAAAATCATGTACAGAAACTTGACTGTCAGGTAATACTGAAGATGATCTAAAAGTTCTACTAATAAGGCTCAAGAGAGGGAAAGGCAGAGAACCAGGAGGTTTGGATGAAAACAGGCATATGATACACAGACACCTTTGTGTATGCAGGGGAAGATCTCAGCTGCTCAGCCCACACTGTGGAGCTCAGCATTCATCAACTCCTTATGTGACATTTAAAACCAGATTTTCAAGGAAATTGGCGTGGTACTGAATGAAGGTGGCACTTTCCTAATAAAGAAACACAAATTTGGATTTGGTGAGCTGGAGTTCACTTCATCAAGTTTTTAGGGGAGGTAGAGGGAAAGAAAGCTACCTGTAGTGTTCCAATTTGGAAGTTAATAAGGTTTAAAATGATCGATTTGAATTGAACATTTTACCTTTGGGAATTAATTTTATTATTTTTAAAGGTTAAAAAAAACAAATAGGTTTTTTTCTTTTACAGGTAACTGAAAAATATTAAAATTTTCATTGATTAAAAACGTAATTTTGTTCACAGTGCTCTTTGATATCTAGTACTTTGTAGAGCCTGATAAAAGCAACCCAACTTGTCCTTGACTGCATATTTCATAATATTTTTCTATCTTTCGTAGATTGTAAAGAAACCTTTTCCTAAGCTTAAAAAACATGCTAGGAAAAGTAGAATTGCATTGCAAAAAAAATCTAGGATGCAGAGAGTGACCTTATGCTAAATGCCACTGTTTAGTTGGACTTGTGCAGATTGAGAAATAGGGATATGGCAGTGATGGGAACTGAATTTGGGTCTCTGTGTCAGAAGGAGAGTGCATTTTCTGGTAAAGCCTCTTCTATCTGGAGCTGAAACCATTGCTTTCCTTCCCTATGCATGGTGTGGCTAGGAAAGCTTGGCTGGGTCTCTGCTGATTCCTGTCAGAGGCACAGGTCCTTTTAAACGTGTATTTCTGGGAACAGTCTTGTCCGGATTCTGCAATCTCTGAAATAGCCACCAGTATGTTTCTATGTTGGTGTGCATTGTGTTCGCATTTTATAATACCGAAGGTTAACTTCGTGTTGGGGAAACTGGAAATAGGTTAATTAAGATATCTGTTTTGTTTAAATAACACAAAATACTGGGTGAATGCCAGAATTGCAAGGTACTGATTATAATTGGCATTTGTGGATGTGGCATTTGTATTTCCATATTTCTGAAACTTTGGGGAAACCTCTCTTTCATTTAAACTTGTGATCTGTCATTAACAACTCTCTGCTCAGAAAATTAATTCCAGCTAGACTAGAAACTGCAATCTGGAAATCTTAACAATGTTTGGGTTAATTAACTCATCATTTGATTTGTTCACATGTTAATAAGCTCTTGAGGATCAATGAATTCTCATTCAGTATAAATAAATTGGATTGGGGAAGCAGTTAATACTGTAATAACAGTGGTGCCCATATGGGCTGGTTTGTGTACATATTTCACTTTTTAATTACCAGTCAATTTGAAATGAAATGTGCTTCAGGGTCTGAGTTGGTTTATTTTCTTTCAACTGTCTGAGAAACAGAATCATCTGGTATGGAAGACTTCAGATGCTGCCTGGAAGAAAACTCAGTCTGGCTTACCACAGAACCTTTTAGTTTTACCTTACAGTGCAGACTACAGATCAGGTAATTTCTATCCTTCAATCCTCACATCATTGAATTGCCTGTCATTTAAGCTTCTGAAATTAATTCCAAAGGTTTGGGCTGAGCATATTTAATCCTCATCATGGATGCCTTTTGCACATTTTCTTTCCCATCAAGATTTTAAAGGCATTCTCATTGGTAATGAGGACTAGTGGGACACAGAAGACATTTTGATAAGCTGTAACAAATCCTTGAGGACAAATGTCTCCTGTGAGTTTTATTTTTCTCTTTAAAAATATTCACTTATTATTTGAGTGCAGTTGAAAGCTGCTGTAATGATAATTTTCTAGAGCAAGAGATTATCAAATGGCATCCTGTGTTTGCAGCATCTGTCAGAAAATGACAGAATCCCCATCTATACAAAATGACTCGGGAATCTTATCAGAGATAAATATAACATAGGATTGTTTTGTACTGTAATTATCCTAGATGTAATGAGGAAAATGAATTCTAAAATGATAAAAAGAATGAAAAAAACTATATACAGTAAACCCCCTTGCTCAGAATTTTTTAAATATTCTAAGATGTGGATTATGGAATTAATGTTATAGACATAATTAAATAGTACTGAAAATCATCTGCAGCCACAAGTCTGAATCACCTGCTTTTTTGGATATGAAGATGCTTAATTTTCTTTGTAAATCTTAACAGTTAAACTGTCCAGTGAGCACTTACCTTCCTATTTATAACTTTATTTGCATCCCTTTCTTTCCATGTACTTCACACAGCTCCCTCTATCTTCAGTCCTTGTGCTCTAAAAATGTTGCTGCTTCTATGGAGTTTCTCTTCAAAAGCCTTTGTACAATGACATTGATACAAAATCACCAGTGTACCTATAATTAGTATTTTTTTATTGTATACTGTTTGACTCCTAGCATCATTGATGTTAGGATTGACAGATTTTAGATGGATGCATTGTGCAGTGATCTTTGATTAAATGAGTCCTGAAAACAGATCTAAGGTCAGATGCCACAAAGAGCAGCTTTGGCTTCTGCAGTTCTCAGTAGTTACAAACACATGAAAATCAATCAGCCTTCAAGAAATTAAGAGATGTTAATCATATTGACAGCTTTCAAGGTTGATGTAAATGGCGGTAGCTAAACAAAAGAAATTGCCTAAATCAATGCAACTGTGCTCTTTCACTAGTGAAGAATCTGAGGAAGTGTTTTTTTGCACTGTTAGCACATATTCCCTTCTTACCGGGGTATCATTGCTCTTTACAATACAACTGCTACTTCTTGGAGCTTTGCACTCTTGAAAACTCAAGTAGCTGAATTTCCAGCTCATAACTGGAGCTCACAGCTCCACAGACTGCACAGGCTCCACAGAGTGAACATTTTGCCATCATGTTCAAACAAAAGTGTCTTCAGTGGAGTTTATGCCACTACACTTAATTACTACTTTTTCCAGTCTAATGGTTATCTTAGGCACATTAAAATAGCTGCAAATCATGACATTGCTGTAAAACCCCTAATCTGATGCTAAATAATTATCCTGTTCCATTGTAGCACGACAAGGACAGAGAAATTGTCCTCTACTGATTTCACTACCAGGCAGACAGGATCGTTTTTTGACCTGCTATTCACCTTTGCTGCTGTCAGTTTGCTATCCCCAGAGTTTCCATCCCTATGCTTGATTCACAGTTTTTGGAATTGGAATGTGATCATAGTTGGCTGTGGGAGCTATGCAGTCCCCCTTTATGATGAAACATACTTACATAGTTGCAGCAGAGGGTGAGGGGACCCTCATTGTACCTTTGAGGGAGCAGAGGGGCAGGTGTGTGAGAGGGGGCACTGGCAAGGTCTCTGGGTGTGCATGGGGCAGGTAGCCCTTGGCCAAGCCCACTGAGCTGCTGGCAAGCATCTGACTGTGCCCTGTCTTGAGACAGGTAAAATCATCAGGTGTGATGTGCTACACAGCTGGTAAGTGCCATAATTCATGTTACACATTTTGAAAACTGAAGGGTGCAACAAAGCGGAATATCAAGGGTATCCAGGAGTGAAATTATGAGGTTTGACTTTGAGACAGGCTGGTATTTTTAGTGCCACATTTTCTGGATTAAGCTCAAGCCAGTGGGACAAATCCTGGCTGCCATTGCTTGAATGCTGAGTGTGACCTCTGCTGGAAGAGGAGACCTTGAGGTTTTCCTTTGCCATAAGTGGATTTATATTTTAAGGCTTCCCTGCTGAAAGGTTTGTTTTTCTAAAGATTATTGTTGAGGAAGAATGCAACTGCATACTCACTGCTATTTTACTAACCATTTTTTATGAGAATCTGTCTTGCTAATCTCTTTTGGGAATTACAGGGAGAGAAAGAGGAAAGATTGTATTGATCTCAAGCACTGTATGTTGGTCAATGGGTTTGTGTAAGGATTCATGTCATGTAAGGGGCGAATCTTTGTAAACGCTAATCTTTGTAATTGATTACTTATTGATTGCTCCCAGGAGATATGTTTTGATATGAAAAAGGGACTTGCCTTCAATTCAATTATGGTATGCAAACAAAGTTCAGGATTTATCTGAAGGAGATTGAAAAGGTGAAAGACGATGGGGAAAGTTCACAGTTTATGTTCACTTCAGAGAAAGTTGATTTTATTTGAGATTACCTATTACCTGTCAATGCAAACGTTTTCCAATATGCTCTAATGTTAAGAGCGTTGTACTTTTTCATGTCAAGACACTACCTGACAATAAAAAGAATAATTTTACCAATTTGCTAAGTGATTCAGTCTAGCTATATTTGCTCTGTTGGTATTGAACCAGAACCTCATAAATGATGACTTCAAATAGCTGGAGTAAAGGTTTGAGCTGGGAAGTTTGGGGCTGGCTGAGACACACATTACATCTGCATTTCTTTGAACCATTGATTTGTATCCTTATTTTAGTTTGAAATTTTTGTAATACATGTTGGAGTTATCTGGAAATAAATTTCTGATTCCAGCTGATCACTGTGTCATAAACAGTTGTTTAATACAATCCTACTTTACAGATCCCAATGGGTTACCCAAGACAAGAGATGTTTTAGTTAATGTCTATTTGAGTTGGAAAGTCTCTTTTGCCTGTGTTTACATTCAAAGTTTTACTCCAGTCAAAAAAACTTATATATAAAGTGAAAAATTTGTATAATGGAACCTAAACATTCTAATAAAATAACTGTTGGCAATGCAGATCTAAGAGAAATAAAGAAAAAAAAAGAATTAATGTTACTGTGCAGAAAAGTTCTCAACAATAAAATGTAAGTTCATATTGCTATGTGTATGTTCAGGTATCTAACTCTTTTCCAGATGTTATGTTCCTCATACTGCTGCCCTTTTGTTCTAAGGTTGATAGCGGGGTCTGTTTGGGGATGTACAATGGGAAATAGGCATCCTGATCCCTTTGCCAAGAGCAAGATGGTGTTGAAGTCAATGCTTTCTGTGTCTTCACACTAGGATCTGCTTGGAGTAATTTTTATGTGTTTTTCTAACAGGTTTTCTAACACCTTATTCTTTCCTCTTTTCTCTGAAAGTCCACATCACTCTGATTGTACTCTATATGGTGAGTTTGACAGGTGTTATTATCATACAAAGAATGACTTTTTACAGCCATGCCAAGCAGCAGCAAAGTCTCAGGCAGAACTAGGCAGGTGCAGACTAAGCCAGCCGGCAAATCTCAGGGCTGAGCCCCGGCAAAACACATGCAGAGCCTGAGGCACCACCCCTCGCCTAGTGACATCGTAACATTTAGTGACAACAGGGACATGGTTTAGAAGTTGACTTGATGGTTATGGGTTGATGGTTGGACTTGATGATCTTAGAGGTCTTTTCCAATCTTAAAAATTCCATGATTCTATGATTACTGGGCTGCAGGTCTGCTATGTCTTTCAGGGGGGATAGATCAGCTAGAAAAAGCAACAGCACCTGCATTTATGAAGAGGATCAATGAGTGATCCAGGATGAATATCTACAGATTGGACTTTATCTTTCTGTTCTCAACTCTGAAATAGATGTTATTTCTTGAATAATTCTGGTTCCAATGCAGTCAACATTTCAATTGGCCTCAAAGAGAGGGACAAACTGGCACCAACAGAGTGGTACGTCTTCCCTCAATCTAAATATAAGGAATTTCATAAGAACAGCTTGCATAATATTTCTGCTAGAGTACCCAAATCCTCCTATGATCGAGAAATAATTCACCAAATTATTCAAACGTACTCTACAACTGAACCAATTTAAAAGACTAGGGGTCTGTGAGATAATACAGGTAATTTAAACCCTTGGAATGATAGAACATCCTATTTATTCTTAACTCAGCTTATTTTCACAGAATTTAGTGGGATCAGATGGTGTAGCCAAGGTGATTATGACAGGGAAGTAACCCCTGGATTATTTCATATGGTGCTGTACCATAATTCATACTGCAGCATTTAGGAGCAGTCCTTGAACTAGAGCAGCTGTACACTGGAGCAGCTCGTCTGATCTGGAAGCCATGGAAAACTGGTGAAAGGTAGGCTGATATATTGGTTAGACAGTACCGATACTTCAGCCTTTGAAAGTTCTAGAGATATTCTCTTCACCTCCTTTGTTTCTCTTTTGCCCTGTACTTTTGTCCATCCCCCTCAAAGAAACTGGCGTGTGTCCTGTTCCCTTTATTGTTAAATGTGAGCATACATTTCAAAATTCTTTACCATTCTGGTTTAATGAAGTTTGGTCCTTTTATAGATACTTTACATATTGCATCACAGATGCAATTTCAAGGGATATCAGAAAAAGGCATCTTTGACATTGGCCAGGGATGTCAAGTAGCAGTGACATTGCAGATATAAAACATGCTCCAGCAGGAAATTTCCTGTCATTTGTGAAGCCTGGCAGATGTTAGATTCTAGGGAATCCTTGGGGTGAATGTTAGGTGTCCTGTATTTCCTTAAAGACCTCAAATAGAAAAGTGCAAACACTGTTTTGGCATTGTTACAAAGTTAAGTATTCCGAAAATATTACGGGTTTGGTTTCTGTTGCCCAAATAGCCTTCTTTATATTAAAATACAATTAGAATTTCCTTTAGAAACATCTGGAAATACAATTTCTAATACTGTATGGATCTCTGCTCAAACAGAGTATTGTTTGGTAAAGAATGCTGGTAATTTGGTATCTCTTTAAATTGCTGATCCGCGCTTGCAAGAATCGTGGGTAGAGCCCTTCCCAAATCTTCGTTCGCGAAGCCTAGCCATGAAATTGCTGATAGATAGAATGTTTCTTTTTTCTTTTCTTTTTTATTTTTTCCTACTGGAAGCTCTCATTTGCCATTTCTTCTTTGAATTTTGACCCTTTTCCTTAGGTTTTTGACGATATGTCTTTTTTATTTATTTTTTTTCCATATTCAACATGTTTCGTGAAGGAAAAGAAAGAAGATGTTATGGACATAGTATAATTTGGCATGTTAATAAAATAACGGTACACATTGAGGTCAAATGTCACAGACTTACTTGGCAAAGGCAGTAGATAGTTTGCCTGAGGAATGAGACTTTTTAAATACAAAATAAGGATTTCTTTGATTAAGGAAAGAACTCATCATGGAAGACTGCCTCTGTTACTTAGAGCATAACTTAAGGAGGTGTGCAATACCGTATACTTATTGCATAGATGTTGTTAACTATATGGATTAATTATGGCTTTAGTGATTGGGATATCCAATGAAAAAAGAGCGGGTAGTAAATGCTGTTCAAAACTCTCATCAACATGACAGAGGACTGAATGAGAAGAAAGAATAGGTTATCTGGGAAACACATTATTAACCAGATACATCATACAACTTTATTTTTCACTGAAAGCCAGAAAGCATTCCTTTTGTATGCAGGCCTGAATTCCTTCTTTACCCACTAGTGTTTGCTGTATTTGATGTGAAATGGTAAAGTAAACTGTGTGAAAGTTACTAGTACTTGTTAGCAGAAAGATTTTTCTTTATGTACTGTACATTCCAGATTTGTTAATTTTCTATCTTCACTTATAATAATATTCCTTGTGTTGCATATAAACACATTTTCTTGTAATTAGGTTTTCTTAGAAAAATATCACTACTTTAAAGTAGATGCAGTCCAGCTGTATAATGTTTAAGCTTTTTAGGTATTTGTAAGCTATTTTTCAGGTAAATATGAATCTATTAACCTGAAAAAATATGTGAATATTTTATTTTTTCTGCTTTCATTTAAATTAACTACTTTAGTTTCAAATTGACTGTAGAATTGATGGTACTAAGAAAAATAACAGTGATGTGAACAAGAAGATTAACTTGAGCAAAAACACTACCATATGATCTGTGAATTAAGTCTTTGTCAAAAAATCTGGTTCAGTTCAATTTAGAGTTTTACCACATGTGGGTATAAAAATATTAACTAAAAGCAAGAGACCTCTGAACTTCAGGAAATCTTCAGAGGCTGTGAAGAAAAGAGCATATGATATATGAGACAAAAAGAATGGAACTGTGAAAAGTAGCATCAAAGTTAAAATTCTTTCTTTCTCTATCTTGAGTCTTTTTCCTAAACCAGGAAAAATAAGATGTTATTTCCAAGAAAGCAAAAATAAAACTGAAAATTTAACATAATAAATGAGATTATTTGTAAATAATGTGAGGTTTGAGTGCAGTGGTCAAGAATGTAAAAAACCCCAAATATTTATATTCTTTTCATGGATTTCCACCTAGAT